TTTTAAGCCACTGGGTCTGGGACGCGAACTGCGGTTGACTATGTGGGAGTCCAGCGACATAGCCATTACGTTAACTGCTGGTTCCCATTGGAGAGGTTTTTGCTATAGGGCACGTGCACTTGCCAGACAGACAGAGACAGAGAGCTAGAAAGCGAGAAATCACCCCCAGAGGGGATAACCACACTGCAATCCCTTCTCCTCCATTCTCCTCTCGGGATCTTGGGCACGCAGACACATGCGCCCGGCGTGAGTTTAAGCCACCAGGTCTGGGATTCGAACCGTGGTCAACTACGTGGGAGTCCAGAAACATAGTCATTATGCTAACTGCTGGTTCCCTGACCTGTTCCCTGACTAAGTTTTAAGCAAAGTTCCTTAGCATTTCTTTGATTTATTAAAGCTAAAATTGTTTTTCTTGAAATTAAAGAAAATATTAAAAAAATCTTTTTAATGAATAGTAAGCATCAGCTAGGTGCTACCTTATTGTATATTCATTCTACTCAGAGTTTCACGCCTAAAGCAGACATGTGTTCACAGATACGTACATACCAGCTGAACTTGCTATTGAAAGTAGTTAGATTATTTAAGAAATTATGTGAATCAATAAAATGTGGGAGAAAAAAGGAATGGAAAACAACTCTAGACACCTGGGATTATGTGGGAGGAGGGTGGGAAATGGCAGAGGGTGAGAAATAGGGGAAAATATATGTATATACAGATGTGTGTATATATATATATATATATATATACACACACACACACATATCAAACTAGAAATGGAAAATTACTGATGATAACATGCATGATTAAGCCACTATGCAGTGTATTCTGGATGGGAAATCACATTTTGCATGCTGTGACGATGCTTAGGGAATGAATGTAAATTAATTAATTATTTTTAATGTTTCAGAAAATAAAAGGAAAAAACACATCCCATTAGTTGAGTCTAAATTTTTAAAACTTTAGCCATTTTTTTTTTTTTTTGGAGGGAGAGGTTTTTTTGCTATAGAGTGCGTGCGCTTGCCAGCCAGAGATAGAGAGACAGAAAGCGAGAAATCACCCCACAGGGGGGATGGTCATGCCGCAATCCGTTTTCCTTCACTCTCCTCTCGGGATCTTGGGCACACACACACACATGCGCCCGGTGTAAGTTTTAAGCCACCGGGTCCGGGACGCGAACCGTGGTCGACTACGTGGGAGTCCAGCAACATAACCATTACGCTAACTGCTGGTTCCCAGCAATGTTTTATTAAAAAAAAAAAAAAAAGTTGTTGAAAAAAGACAAGCCTATTGTGTACAAGCAGAATGCATAATCACTAGCAGGAGCCTAATTAGCTACACCCTGCAGAGAGTAACGTGACTGAGCGTCAGTGTTTACCAAGTTTGAAATATGGCACTGATACCCGCCAAATGCCGTTAAAACTTCCAGAGACAGCTGAGAAAATGTGTGTTGGAGCATGGTTTATATTTGCTTTGAGAGGTAGAGTTTGGAAGACAGGTATGATCGACTCATCTCCAGAAGATTCTAATAGGACCCAGAATCTATATAATTAATATCAAGAAGGTCTCATATATAATCCAATATTCACCAGACATACAAAGAGCTAAAAGAAGGTGACTAAATGTCAAGTAAAAAAGACAATTAACACATGCCAATCCTGAGGCACCCAGATGAACTTCTCACTGTGCTGCATCAGGTAAAGTACGTGCAATGGGAGCCAGGTACTGGACTCCCACATGGCTGACTGAGGTTCAAGTCCCAGACCAGGCAGCTTGCTTTCCCACTTTCTGCCTCTTTCTCTCTCTGATGAGCACAAGTGCCCTATGCCAAATTGAAAATAATACTATCAATAATAATAATAAATAAAATAAAATAAATTTTTGGAGAGGTTTTTGCTATAGGGTGCGTGCGCTCACCAGACAGAGAGACAGAGAGATAGAAAGGGAGAAATCACCCCCCAGAGGGGATGGCCACACCACAATCCCTTCTCCTCCATTCTCCTCTCGGGATCCTGGGCACGCACGCACACGCACCTGGCATAAGTTTAAGCCACCGGGTCCGGGACTCGAACCACGGTCAACTATATGGGAGTCTAGCAACATAGTCATTACGCTAACTGCTGGTCCCCAAATTAAATATTTTTAAAGTGCAATGCAAATGGATATACATGTAAAACAAGAAATTCTTACAAGGAAAGTGAAAAAAGTATTTAGAAAAAGGACAGGTTCTGTGGCATGGCAGTAACGTGCTGCTCAAAGACCCACATTCCACATGGGCCGTGGTTTGAATCCCCTCCCAGCTGGCTGAGACTCCGGGCATGTGCATGAGTGCCCGGGATCCCAAGGGCTAGAGGACTGCAGGCGGGGTCCCTACATGATCTGACACTGGGGGTCTTATGGAAGGGGGTCCCTGTCCTTTTTCTCTCTCACGTATGTGCATATACACTTTGTCATGAAGAAAGAAGAAAATATAACTGTTTAAACAAAGAAAGTGAAAATAACTGGAAATGTCAGAACTTTTAAGATATAAAAACTCACTAGATGGGCTTAATGGATATGAAAAATTAAACCGAACCATTAGAAATTTTGGAACTTTAATATATAAGAAATGAACCAGCCCGCAACATGGCAGTTAAGGTGACTGGATGCCATCTGGCCACCTGTGTGATTCAAGTCCCAGACCTGGTGGCTTGATAAACATGCCAGGTGTGCGTGTGCATGGCTAAAAATCTGAAAGGAGGGAGAGATGGAAGAGGGGGAGCGTATGACGACCAGTCCCTACAGGGGATGCCTTCTCACCTTCTTTCTCTGTGTGTGTCTCTTGTGAACACACATGCCCTCTGGCAAAATTAATATAAAATATAAGAAATAAAATTTGGCGAGCACATGTGCCCTCTGGCCAAAACTTGAAGAGAAAAAAAAAAAAGAAAGAAACTTAGTAGAGGGACCAGTTGGTGGTGTGATGGTTAAGGCACTGGACTCCCACATAGCCAATCAAGGTTTGAGTTCAAGGCTGGCAGTTTGTTTTCTCACTTTCTCTGTCTCTCCCTGGTGAGCGCACGAGTCCTACAGCAAATTTTAAAAATAATAATAAATAAAATTAAATAATTCTGGGGGAAAAACACAGTAGTATATAAAGATGAAAAAAAACAAAAAATCAAGAACTTAAAAACAGATCAACAGAAATGATTTTATCCAAAGGACACAGTAGCGAGGCCAGCAGATAGCATAGTATTTAAGGTGAACTCCCACATGGCTGACCGTGATTCAGGTCCTGGTCCTGGAAGCTTGATTTCTCACTTTCCCTCTCTCTCTTTCTGGTGAACACATGTGCCCTATAGCAAATGAAAATAAAATAATAATAATGATAATAATAAATTGGATCAGCAGATGGTGGAATGGTTATGTCATTGGATTCCCATGTAGTTGACCGTGGAGAAGGGACTGCAATATTGCCATCCCCCTGGGGGGGGGGGAGAGGTGATTTCTCTTTCTGTCTCTGTCTCTCCAGCGGGTGCATGTGCCCTATAGCAAAAAGAATTTCCCTAAAAATAAATAAATATTAATAGTAGAAAAATAAGGGAAAAAAGAACAGAGCCTTGGAAATTTGTAGTAGTTGGGACCAGCAGATGGCATAATGGTTACATTGCTGGACTCCCACATAGTTGACTGTTCAAGTCCTGAACTCTGCAGCTTAAAAACTCACACCAGACGCATGTGCACATGTGTCCAAAATTCCGAGAGGAGAATGAAAATCCATAGTAGTAACAGCAAAAGGACTAACATATGAGTTCCAAAAGAAAGAAATAAAGCAACTGAAGCTCAATATTTAAAGAAATATTGACTGCAAACTTCTGCAAAAGAAGACTTACAAATTCAAGAGGCTTTGTAAATCCACAAACAGGATAAACTCACTGCTAAAAAACAAAAATAAAGAAAAAATCATAAAATGATGATATTTAACACAACATCCTGGAGAAGACAGCACTATCTGGACAGAAAATAAGTCAGTAGCTGCCAAAGGCTGAGGACCAGGGAAAGGAATAACCACAAAAAGGCATGTGGACACTTACAGAGTGTTGAAATTATTTTTTTTTAAGAATTATTTTATTTAATTTTATTTATTCATTCCTTTATTTTTTTAATTTAATTTTACCAGAGAGAAACAGAGAGAGAGAGAGGGAGAGAGAAAGTGAGAATGTAAGCCACCAGGTCTAGGACTAGAACCATGGTCGGCCATGTGGTCACTTTAACCACCACACCACCTGCTAGTCCCACAGAATGCTGGAATTATTCTTTAGCTTTTTTATGATGGTGATTGTAAGACTATGCATTTTTCAGAACTCACAGAAATGTACAACAAACAGTATAAATTTCATTCTACATAAGCTATGCATACAGAAGTGTGTCTTACGACGTGAAGTAAAGACATATGTTATACCATCTATAGAATACTCTTGCCAAAAAGTGTTTATTATTGTTAGGAAACTATCCGCAATGTGGCCTACTCTATAAGACTGCTGGTCTGGACGCTTCAGGTGAAATTCTCACAGAACCTAAAAATGGTGAGGTTGAGTGCTCTGGATTCCAAAGAGACATAACAGTCAAATACAATGCATGCATCCTGTCCAGTCCTTAACCAGAAAATAAACAGAGAACAGTGAGACACCTTAGGGAATGGTTGGGAGAGTGACAGCAGACTACATATTAAGTTATATTATTTAAGTAGCATAACTTTCCTGATACAGTAATGGCACAGAGAATGTCCTTTATTCCTTGGAGATGCATGCTGAAGTGCTGAGGGACACTGTGTCATGACTTTTACCAACTCCTTTCAAATGGTGCAGAAGAAAGCGTGTGTGTGCGCGCGTGTGTGTGTGTGCACGCGCTCGCAGAGGAGGAGAGAGGGACAGAGAGATAAGTTAATGTGGCTAAACATTAATAACTAGTGAATCCAAGAAAAAAAGGAGAAATATTATTCTAAATTCAAAAGCTATCGTTACCTCCTTTATAATCTGAAATCTTGTAAGAACCTCATCTTCAACACCTTTAATTTTACTCAAGGCATTTTCATGTCTGAAAAGCAGTTGTTCTCTTTCAACTAAAAAACGTTCTCGCTTTTGAAGTTCCTCAGCAAATTTCTGTTGCGCTGCAGTTTCACACTGTATCAAAACGTCAGGTAAAATAAATGCTTTTAAAAAGTGTATTCACAAAAATGCATTCATAATCCTTAACTATATTTTTATTCATTGATACTGCGGTTCAAATGATTTTTAGAAATACACGGGTCCCCAAAGAGAATCTGGATTACAATAATAGCAGGTCAAATGCACAGAAGTTCTATCACGGGGAGAGGGAGTAGTGAGATACTAAATGTATACAAAAATCCCAGCTAGATGGGAGGAATAGACTTTATCATTAATAGAAACTTTAGGTTTCTATTGCACAGCAGGGTGACTAGCATCAACAGCAATTTACTGTATACTTCAAGACAGCTAGAAAAAATGAGTTTGTTCACATCGCAAAGTAACAATAAATATTTGAGGTCCTAGATATGCTAATGACACTGATATGATCATTACTGTATTCACACATCGAAAGATTAATATTGTACCCCATAAATATGTACAACTATTGTGTACCAATTAGTTTAAAAAAAAAAATTCGGGACCAGCAGGTGACATGGTGGTTAAGGGCACTGAACTCCCACATGGCTGACTGTGGTTCGAGTCCCAGACCTGATGGTTTGCTCTCGATTTCTCTCTCCTCTCTCTGTGTGTCTGTCTCTAGTCAAAATTGTAAAATAATGATAAGTAAATAATTCTAAAAAAAAAGAAAGAAATGTCATATGAATTCCTTACATTAAAACTCACTTTAGGGAACCAGCAGTTAGCGTAATGGCTATGTTGCTGGACTCCCACGTAGTCGACCGCGGTTCGTGTCCCGGACCCGGTGTCTTAAAACTCACACCGGGCGCGTGTGCGTGCGTGCCCAAGATCCCGAGAGGAGAATGGAGGAGAGGGGATTGCGGCGTGACCGTCCCCCCTGGGGGGTGATTTCTTGCTTTCTGTCTCTATGTCTCTCTCTGTCTGGCAAGCACACGCGCCCTACAGTGAAAATATCTCCAAAAAAAAAAAATTCACTTTAAAAAATAAATTCTGTCTTGCTGTGAAATTATGTGATGCTATAGTAGGATTCCCTCACGGGGAGTCAAGATAATGTGGGGACCAAAATGGGTAGAGAGATATGGAAGTACTTCCCCATCGGGCTTCAATTCCATGCTCTACTTTGACTCTCTTTTCTTGTTGTTTTCCATCCCCTTGGACTGAAAGACTCCAGGCCTGGGTTAATGCACTCATCACCTGCCCTGCCCTGCCCTGATGCTACACAGCAATGACGAAAATTCACACACCCTGAAAAGTGGCACCATTGTGGCTTTATGAACTCAATCCTCTACTGGGTTATCAATGCAGTCCAGAATCTTTCTACATGTTTGCAGTCAGCTCTCTCTCCTATTCTCCAAAGAGTCTACTTCAAACCTTTTCTACTCTTTGTTAGTTCTGAACCTAACACTTCCCGCATGACTCTCTGTGGACGGAGTGGTCTCTAACTGCAGGGAGACAGAAGATGGGAAAAGGAAACATCAGTCTCCTGCCCTCAAGACACACACGCAGTTCTCCCTCTGTCTCAGTATAAACGCAGTCTCAGGATCTCACTGCCTCAAACCCTCTTCTGGAGACTCTCCTGTTTGTCCCCTAATATTTTCAAACTCTTCCATCCCATCTGAAAGGAGATCTCTCTTGACTCCACCTACTTATCTACTCCCTTACACACTCAAACTTCTGTAAGATGTCTACAGTTGTTGAGCTCCCTCTCTCTCCCTCCTTCCCTCCTCCCCTCCCTCTCTCTCTCTCTTTGAAGTTTGCCAGAGGACCTATGCCAGAGAGAGGTAGGAAGGGAAAGTGAGAAGGTGCCCCCTGTGGACAATGGTCTTGCTACAATCCCTTTTCCTCCACTCTCTCCTTTCAGGATTTTTGCGCACTACACACCAAGTACCAGGTGCGTTTTTCAAGCCATCGGGTCTGAGACTTGAACCGTTTAGCTGATCAGGTGAGATCCAGCTGCCTTAACCACCACGCCACCAGCTGGCCCAGCTGAACCCTCTTCTTTACCTCCCAATGAATATATCAACTGTAATCTTTTTCTGAGATAGTGTGTAATTACAATCTGAGTTATTTTGACAAAATGAGATACTGGTACTTAAAAATGTTTATTTCATGTGTATATAATGTGTTTCCATGGAGAACAATCTCAAACACAGAGTTCTGCTTTCTTCTCTAATCTGACTGCTTATGAAATATGCAAATTATATCCTTTAGAAACAAACAAAAATCCAAAGATAAATAAAGGCATAAATGCTCAGAGCTGAATTGAGATGAGAGTTGGCATGAGTACTTCTTCACACATCCATATTTAAAGACAATCAATCTAGAATATGGTTTTAGTCCCTTGTGTTGCTAATAACAGAAATGCCAGAGTCAGAGTAATTTAAAAAGAACAGAGATTTATTTATCGTAGTTCAGGGTTTTGAAGGGCCACATTGGTGAAGGTCTCCTTGCCTCTGGCCGGCATGCGGAGGGTGTGGAGGGTGCGGCTATGCCTGCCCATGTCTGTGTCTGCTCTGGTCTCTCTATAAAGCTACCAAGAGCTAATCATGGGGATGCACCCTCATTACCTCCCGAAGGGAAGTTACAATGCTGCTACAAAAGGAACCAAATCTGGGAACATGAATTTGGGGGGCGGGGAACATTCAAACTATAGCAAATACCTATTTCAAAAATCCTACTCTACCAGCACATTCTGTTTTATTCCGTAAGTATGAACAGGATGAGATGGGATAGGATAAACAAAACACAAAATCTGAAATCTACGACACCTGCCTAAAATAACACCACCAACTGTCCATTTTTCTCTGAATCATTACATTTTCCCTCCAGTAGTTTCTATTAAGTGAATGCATTCCTTTCTGCTTTTGCCTTAACTGGCACACTAAAGTGAAATGCCTTGTATTTAAATCTTATACATGCTTGTTTCTTAGAACATAAACATTTCTGAACTCTCGCTTTAGAATGAAGTTCTCACCTGCAGTTTCAGATGTATTTGAAATAATTCATCGTATATCTGATTGATCTGATGAGGAAGTAAGCTCTGCCTCTTTAATGCTTTAGACTTTGAAGAGCTGGCGGGCCTCAGAGGAGAGCCAGCTGCGTCATTACAATACTCTGTCCGAGGTTTAAGTGAGGTCACAGTATTTGGCAGGGCAACTGCAGAGAAAGTAAAATTTGAAGTAAAAACGTTATTAACTTACATATTCTTTTTTTTTTTTTTTTTGGAGAGA